TGGTTCAAAAGACGATTAGATGGCTGTTAAAAGATTTATTCTCGCGTGCAACAAAACAATATCTGACCGTCGTATTAATAAATGTTGAGATATTATCAGATTTTTCTACGCTATTGAATGCGAAAGATTTTGACAATATTATTAATGCTTTAGATGGTCTAAATAATATCTGCGATGTTGCAGAGAAAGTAGGAGAAAGAGAAAAACTTGTCACTATAATGAAAAAAGTTGAAATATTAGATAAACTGAAAGTTCTTCAATATCATAGATATGAAATAATTTATGAAAAATCTATGGTTATACTTAGCTCGTGGTTTTCTTAACGAGTTTATATACTTATTTTATTTTTCGAGAACTATTAAAAGTTCTTATTTCTTTTCATAAACATTTTATCTAAATAAGCACAATATGTTATAAATGGAATCATAATTTTTAATGACTTCATTAAATTAAATAATAAAACTAATTACGTGTTATTAATGTAATAAACTATATTAAAATGTAATAAACAGACTGTTTTTAAAATATTGAAAAATTTCTCCTGAATTTAAAGAGATTTTTGATTGAATTTAATAGATTTAATAATGGACTGATTAACAAATTTAATTTCTTGATAAATTTATTTTTGAATTCGAACTGAAAGATATATGTATTATACTTAAGACTATTATACTTAAAGGATCAATCAATATGAGACTTGATTATTATTTTGTAATACATGATAATAACTACTTATAAAAAGAATTAGAAATCAACCAATCAAGTTATAGAAAAATTGCGTGACAAAAAATACTCGCTATAAAGTATTTACATTTAATTAAATATAAATATAATTATACGCAGTGTCTCAGTAATTCTATCACAAGGCATCTTCATTACAGTTAGTGATACGCAAATGCCTAAGGAATAAATTGTTCGAAGGAATATATGAAGGTAACATTGTGATGGGAATCAATTTTTTTCTCAATGTCATATTTTTAGTTATTTCTAGGTCATTTATTTTTTAAATAGGACTACATATTTCTATCATTATAGCGTAATAACTGAAGTTGAGACAAATCCAACTTATAATATACAATGACCTTCATATGACCTTAAGTACGAAAAATTCAAAAATTTTGAGAATGGATGCAAATAATGAAATAAGTACAACAGAAAAGAAAGTTTATTGTAATAAGAGAAGAGAAATAAAAAATAACATCCGTTCACTTTGTGCAATGCATTAAATATTTTATATGCAAATAGATGAATAGGAAGAGGAAGTCTTACTTCTTTGCACCACGTTGTTCCTGATATTAATTCGCTAGATTTTTTTCATTAATTTCACGGGAACGGAGATATTGCAACAGAGTTACTGAGACCCTGCATATAAAATATGCGCTTATATGTTTTCTTTTTTTTTATGATCTGTCCATATGTATAAAAAAAATAATAAAAAGAATAATTAAAGAATGACTAAAAAAGTAACTTTCACCTTTTTAAAATATGATCACATTATATAACATTTTACAGGATGGGCAAAGGATGAGTTCCGAACCGGTGAAATATCTCGAAAGTAAAATATTTTTGGAAAAATAATTCAGACAAAAGGTTTTAAAAAAGATCTATTTATTGATCATATATTTGACCTTGGATGGCAAGTCAGGTTACCAACATCCTATTTTTGATTCTAGGATTAATAACTGATGTCAAAAGTTTTTCAAAATATATAATAACGATGTAAAGACTCTTAAATGTAAACGTAAATAAACAAACAAATACACGGCGAAAGAAGAGTCAGTAGAGTAGTTTTCAAAATATTACAATGAAGTTTATTTTCATTAAGTATTTTTCGAGTTATAAGAATTAAAAGTTACAGTACGCCATCATTAGTATTATTCAAAGTCATCTAACCGATGACTAAAACCGTTTGAATGTAATTGTTCAGGGTCATGCTCTGGATAACATTTGTTAAGATCAAGGCTTGATCAAGATTGGAGGTTATTTTTTTTTATTTTCATTATTGCACTAAAAATTCATTTTTATGTAAAAATAAAAATAAGAGGAACAATCTTCATTGACCTTGATCATGACAAGTGTTATCCTAGTCATGATTTTGAACAACATTTAAGAGATTTTAGTCATCGTTCAAACGCTTTGGGTAATGTTAATGCGACGGTACTGTATATTTCAAGCTTTATAACTCGAAAGTACTTAATGAAAAAAACAGTTTATGTTTGAAACATTTTCCTGTATCTATAATATCATAGTTTGCGAAAAATTTTAATGAGTTATTTCAAATGGGACACCTTGTATATATTAAGACAGTCATTGTAAAAATAGATATGATCAGCGATTTATGTCCGAAATAAAGAGTTTATTATATTGTACGATAATAATAGCGAGTTCCTATTTGTCCGGTTATTGACATTAACTGATTTTCGGGATCTAGAAACATCGATAAACTCTAGAATAAGACTTAGGCACAGCTCGGCGCAGATGCTTCCATGCTCATTAGACATCTTTAAACGACTGCATAGTTTTGACTTTTATTCGGTTACTACTTTTATCGATAATTGTAAAAAATAACATTTTTTTTTATTTTTGACAATAGTAGTAGGTTACTTGAATTCTTTGATAAAGAAGAACGAATAACATAGATATATGTGGTAAAATCTGCAGTTTAACTAGGTAACTACAAATTATACTAATTATATTAATTAGTAAAAATATTTTTAAAATGAATTTATTTATTCAGATATTATATAAATGACATATTAATTTGTTTTAAACTTCCATGTAAATAAATATTCAATGGCTACATTTTGCATGTAATCATTATATATATGATAAATTTTACATTAGCAACATTTAATACGATCACGTTTTCATACGCTGGCATCATAATAAATTCGAATTTTCTTCTCATAAACAAATGTAAATTTTATAAATTTCGATTAAGTTAATTAAGGACACACTCTATCACAGAATCAGTTGCATAGTTTATTTTTCTGTCAATATATATTCTGATTGTTATTATATTATGAATATATTTTAATTTTCTAAGATGCTCATGAGCATCAAATGTTATTGAAATGCTTGTCAGTATAATTTATGATGTTACAATCCCATATTCCGTACATGATTGTGTTTCAAGACTGAAAATAATTTCGGTACGCAATTGCAAGATCGGATATGTATATAAATTCACATTATTATTAATTAAGTACTGACTGTGTGTGTGTGTGTATGTGTGTGTGTGTGTGTGTGTGTGTGTGTGCGTGCGTGCGTGCGTGCGTGCGTGCGTGCGTGCGTGCGTGCGTGCGTGCGTGCGTGCGTGTGTGCGTGCGTGTGTGTGTGTGTGTGTGTGTGTGTGTGTATGTAAGGATGAGGCATCTAAAACAGATCATAGATAACTCACTTTGAATAATTCACTTTTTAATAATAGAAAGAAAAGTTTCAAACAACAAAAACTTGGATTCGAGGACGTATTTTGGTCATGTATTTTTTTCTAGATGGAGACGCCAAAAAGGCGTATAAGTGAATTCCACTTTTTTAAATGGAATTGTATGTGATTTTTTTCTACATAATATGATCCCTCTAACTATTCTACATTTAAAAGGATCAAGGTAGACATATGACAGAACTAATAGTTTACGAGATATTTTATACTTCGCTGTGTCACACAATTGACATAAAATGTTAAATAACTCGTAAATTGTTTATTTTTGATAATTGTATCTTAATATTTTTATGAACATAATGAGATAAATCAATTGATAAAAAAAAAAACACAAAAAAATATATATTAAAAATGAGTTTTTTTTTAAATAAAACTTTATGTATTTTTGTTCACATAAAGTGCGGGGACACTTTATATATTTATATTTCATATACATATAAAATCTACTACATATAAATATTTTAATATTTAATTTTTTAATACTTTATAAATATTTTATTTGGTCTCGCGCCATGTCTCAGCATTGAGATGCTACTATATGTTTCCAGATAAAAATAATGGATATTTTGTGAATAAACTTAGCTTGTGCAAGTGTATAAAAATGTATTTACAGTTTAATATCGTATTATGTATATAATAAAAGATTATTATATGCAATAAATGAAATTATAAAATGTTTACTTTCTCATTTTTATTTCTTAAAGAGATTTTACATATATTTAACATATATTTTAAACTTTAGACTGCATTCCGATAGTCACTGTCAGTATTGAAAATCTGTAAATCTGTAAATATTACATATACATATACTATGGAGAGAGAGAGAGAGAGAAATTTCCAGTATTAGAAATGAATTTTAAAATACATTTTTATATAATTCATTATTAAAGTTTGTAAACAATGTTTAACTTAAATTCGGTAATTGTTGAGTTTAGCTCCCTCACGTGCAATATAATGGATGGTAAAATTAGACTCATTAAACATGTTTTTGAATAAAATGACCAAATCTGGTAAAAACAAGCGTCACTCTTTTCCGCGAACTGAAATATTAAATCGTTAATGTTGATTATTCGGGTTAGGAAACTCATCATACTAATGAACAGCGACATGAGCTTATGAATAGTAGATTTATATGCGTTTTGTCCAAAACTTATAATTTTTAGAAAACAAGAGAAAAAGAAACTACGCACTTTACAAAAAATAACAATATGTCAACCAGTAGGATATGAAATATTAAACAAAATTGCTTAACAATTGCTAAAAATGTTAAACAACTGCATTTTGTTTGTTTTTAATTATATTTATAAAATGATGCAATTAAAATTACATGATCCATTTCGAAATGTCTATGTTTTTTCAGCATGTAAATTAACAATAAAGAAATGCTTTCTGAACATCTCAGAGAACTTGTAATGTAATTAAGTTATTCAACACTGAACATTCCGCCATCCTTAACCTAAAAAATGAAATTTTGGACAAAACGCATAATGAAAGTCTGCTCTTCATACGCTGTTTAAGTAAATTTGATATGAATTTCGAAATATCTCAAGATATGATACAAAATAAGCACATTTGGCTGAATTTATTTTTAAAAGAGGAGATTTAATATTAATGAATTATAGAATTTTTATATATAAAAATAATTAATAAATTATATCTTGCAACATCAATAAATTCCTAATAAAAAATATATATTCTCTTCTTTTAATTTAACAAAAACAAATTTTCTTATATAATTTAAATTATAGCAGATTTGTTATTCAAAATGTATGTTTACGTATTCTCTGAGTTAATTAATTTTTAAAAACAAAAATTTTTGTATATAACTCAAATTATGACAGAAACTTTGAATAATGAAACTTTGGATAATGAATAATTACTTTTTAATATTAGATTTTTAATATAATAAATAATATAATTATTTATTAAAATTTTTATTAATACGTTGATTGTCGATTGACAATTAATCGCGTTTGTTTTTGACGCCCTAACATCGATGTTTGTCTGATATTAAATGTATTATGATTGAAGTTTTTCTGAGAATCGAGGACGCTGATCGATTTGATACAATGCCCAGTGAAAATAAATAAAATTACATGTACCTGTTTTAATTTCTTACTCAACAATATAATCGTAATATAATATGTCTTATCGATAACAACATGTTAACAACATATTAAATCGATCAGCATTCTCGATTTTCAGAAAAACTTTAACCATAATATGATTAATATCAGACAGACAGACACCGACGTTATGGCGTCAAAAATAGAATTAGTTATTTATATCCGAAATAAAGAGTTTAGTATATGACGCGATAATAACAACGAGTTCGAACTTTAGTCATTGACATTAAGATAAACAAGTAACAAGGACATACGTAGGGAATCTGCAGCTTGATCAGGTAATTATTACACTGGCTAATTAGATAGATTAAAGACACGCTGGAAATTAATTTATTTATATAGATATTATATAAATAAAACTTTAGTTCATTTATATATATTTGTTAGATATCTTTAGAAATAATTATATATTTGTTATTGAAAGTAAATTTGAACATAAGAACGTTTAATATAAATACGTTTTCGTATTATATGTTGGTTGTATTATAATATAATTCGAGATTTCTTCACATAATAAAATGTAAATTTTGATTAAGTTAATTATAGACGCATTCTACCAGATTCGGATGTTATTCTCATTATACTCTAAATTATTTCTCATTGTACTCTAATCTATCATTATCATTATGAGTATATTTCTAATTTGAATCTTTTTTTTAAATATCTATGCAGTAAATCTACAAAATCTTCGAGACAATGTCTTCTCAAGAGGATGACAGCAACAAACACATGACAAAATTTGAATATGATAAGATTGCATTTGCTGCAGACTATGGCGTAAGCGTATATTAAATTATTTTCTAATTTATATAGAACTTAGATCTATAAATCAAAAATTTATACAGCCAACATTTTTATTTCAGTTCTCTATATATTTTATATATTTTAGATTCAACTTTATACGTAAATATATTCTTCTAAGTATATCTTCTTCTTCGTTATTGTATATAATTCGTGTTAAGATATTTCAATTATTTGATAGGATATATACTACTAGATGTGTATGAAATATTTTACACGTACTTGATATATGTACATATTTTTTAGAAGAACCGAATGGAAAATAATGCAGTGCGGTTATGTAAAGCCATAAAAAATAATCGATTATTTAGACGTAATCTTGATATGGAGCAAGAACTAATAGATTCTGCTCTTTCACTCACTTCCGATCTTTCTGTAGATAAAATTGTGAATTACATAAACTCGTCAGATGAAACATTACAATTACTGGGAATCCAAGCTTACGCGAAATTAAAACAACAAAAAAATCCTTTTATAAGTGATACGATAGAAGATGATATATTATCATGCTGTATTAAGCTCTTAGACAGTGACATGTATGTACACGAAAATCGAAAATATGATTTATCAAATTAAGTAAATTGTTTGTTTATGTATGAATTATTTATAAATAAGATATAATTTCTTTAATTCTATTTAGTATTTCCTTGCAATTTCAAATAGCATCTTTATTAGCTATCATAGCTTCGGATACATTCAAACAAATGCATGTTATAACATGTGAAGCAATATTAAAATTAGTCAATCTACTTAAGTCATCGCCTATTGTTGCGGAACAAGCAGTGCGTGCCTTAGGAAATATAATTGAAGATAAACCATGTGCACGTGACTTTGTTCTTAAATGTAATGCTCTACCTCTTTTGGCAGATTTAATTAAATCTGATACTTCAGTAAGTGATATGTTATAATACCTCTTAATTATATTACTCTTGATTATCTCACTTGCTTTTAGTATCACTTATTATCAGTATGACTCCGAAAGAGAAGCTACGAACCGTCTCAATTTCTATGAAACTTGGCGAACATATTGAGTGTTCCTTCCTAATATAATATTATTCATCAAGAAATAAAAATATAAATTAAAAAGGATATTTATTATCTTGAAAATAATTTATTGTCTGCGCCTAAAAGAGGATAATATTATAATATATATCGGGAAAGAACACTCAACGTGCTCGCCAAGTTTTTTAGACATTAGTGTGTTTAGTGTGACAAAATATTTTTAAAATCATGTACATTCGATAATAGTTGATACTAGCAATGAATGATTTTTATAATATTATACTTCTATTTTTATTGCAAAAAAGTGGAGATAATCGAACTATATCCGTTGATTTAAAACATTTAGGTAGTAATATTTTTTTGTAACACTTTTTTAATTACTTAATTAAATTATAACTAATTTCAAAAAATAATACTTAATGGGGAGAGAGTGTTTGAAAGAGAAAATTATATATTATACAAAACATGTGTAACTAGCATTGAAAACAAACTGAGGGGGAGGTGGGAAAGTCGCTTCGCGTGAAAAGTCATTACGTAAGCAAGGAAAGGTATAGAATAATTTTTAATATTATATATAGCAAAAATAAGATGTTACTTTTCAAACTTTTTTTTATTAACAACTTTTTAACGAAAGATAAGCGACATCTAAAACTTGGAAGTCACTCAGGATCATGATCTTGACAACATATGTCAGGGTCATTTGGGGGATGCTTCTCTAATGTAAATTTTTACCATTTTTTTATTTATTAGATCAGTTATATACATGGAGTATACATTTATATTGGAATGAAATATTCCTTGAGTTTTTAACTTATTGTTGTTTTTGAATTTAGTTTTGTTCTTTATTTGTTAGCAGTTAGCATCTGAATTAATAATATTTGTGTTGAGTAATTGCAAGCGCTTATGATTTTATTGCACTATCTCTTCTAAAAAAAAAAATGTATATAAACAGGTAATAATAATGTATTTTTCCTAGGAAATTTCCTAGGAAATTACAACATATTTTTATCAAAGTGTTTTGAAAAATAACGATGATAACGATGTTTGTAAGTTTTTTTAACATAAATGTTAGCAAGACAAGTTCAGCTTTTACGTCAAGTAGAATTTTAAAACTGCGTTTCTTCTAATAAGTAGACAACATTTCAATATTTCTGATTTTGATAAAATATGCAGGTGATATTTATGGACGACATTTCATGGCTTTTATCTAATTTATGTCAAAGGAATATACCTCTAAGTGTTACATTGATTAGACCTGTTCTACCAGTATTTCATTGCCTATTTAATATTAAAAATCAATACATAATTTGTAAGATATTCGCGTTTTATCATTTATTTTATACATTATATAATTTATTCTAATTTTTAAATATTTATAATATCCCTGTTTGTTATAGCCGACATCTGCCGGACACTCTCTTATCTTACTGATGGATCTAACAATAATGTACAAGCAATAATGGAAACTGTAGGCATTCTACCGAAACTTTTAGAGTATCTGACGGTGAGAAAAGAATCTATCGTTATTCCAGCACTGCGTACAGTAGGAAATATAGTGACAATTGGTGATGATGCACAAAAGAATGCTGTAATCTCCGCAGGAGCATTGTCGCGTCTTGGTGACGTATTACGATATTATTTGTGTATCAATGAGAAAGATATTATAGAGGAAGCTTTTTGGGCAATTTTTAAAATGGTTGACAATACAGACCGAATTCAAAGTGTAATAAATGCTGATCTGTTACCACTACTGATAGAAGGACTTCAGTTTGTAAGTATGTTTCTTATATTCTGTTCTTGTGCATACACGAGAAAATACACAAGCCACAAATTTGTTTTAAATATTTTGATAAAGAATATATCATTATATAATATATATTGTAGATATATATTGTAGATAAATATATCCATAATTTTATTTCAGGGAAGTGCACGAAAAATAGCCACCTGGACTGTAATTACCTTGATAACTGGAGGAACTATTCAACATTTGAATCAATTAGTGCAAGCTGGCGTATTGCAAGCTTTTTGTAATTTACTTGAATCACATGATTATGTAGATATTATTAATGCCTTAATTGGTATGGCTGAAATCTTGCATGCAGCAGAGAAAATAGGGCAAGCAGAAAAATTTGTCATTATGATAAAAAAATTTGGAGGATTAGATAAAATAGAAGATCTTCAATATCATAATAATGAACGAGTTTATGCAGAATCTTTGGCTATAATCAACGCATACTTTCTTCAAAGGGTTCGTACATTTATTCAATGTTCATAAATAAAAAAATAATTTATGTAGAAAACTTTATTTTTATCGTAGAAAATTTTACGTTTTTCTAAGTAAGCAAAATATATTATAAATAAAATTATAATTTTATCTGTATTATATTGTATTAATCATATTATTAATTTAATAATATTCATATTCCCCGTCCAACATAAATGAAAAGTTACATTTTAAGGATATCTGTTTCATATATTTAAGATTTAACTTTATGTGCATTGGGAAAAAATATAGTCAATTTTATTAAATATTAGTTGAATACTGCAAACTAATTATTAAATATAAAGATATATTTATTTAGTACAAGAACCAACAATTTGATTGAATAATAATTTTTTTTATTTAATAAATATTTATTTATTGTAAGTTTAATTGGCATATAATATTGAACTAAATATTTATTAAAACTTATTTTTTTTTTTCAGTGTGTAAACAGCTTGCATGCTTTTTAATTGTGTATATATATATAATTTTTATTAAAATAATTCAATATTGGGAATGTTACTACATAAAGTTATTCGTTACCGTTACTAATTTTCAAAAATAGCAATATTTCTTTTCGTTATTTTTTTCTAGTGTTAAAATAAGATACATATTAGGTTTAGAAATTAAATACATTATTTAATAATTAATTCATATTAATTAATATAATAAATATTAATTAATATGAATTAACTATTGATTAAATTTGTAAAAATTAATATTAAAACTAAAAAATTTAATTTAATCTATATACCAAGGTTTTCTTTATATTAAACTTATATTTAATGCGTCTTTATGATAATTATATAAATATTTTTATTTTTTAATGTATATTATATATTTTTGATCTATATGTATAATACGCTTACTTTTAGGAAATTAAATAATTGTAATTTTGTTAAAAATTTTTTAACATTATTTTTAAATATTAAATGTTGTTATTAAGAGTGCATTTCAATATCCACTGTCAATACTGAACATTTATAGTTTATGATATGTATATACTACAGATTTTCAGTATTGACAATAACTATCAGAATGCAGCTTAAGATAATTGTCGATATTTACATTTTTATTATTAAATATTTCTAGTCAATGAAAAATAATGCGATCTATTAAATAGTTACACAGATAAAAAGGGACTAAATAACGATAAAATAATAGTTGAATTCATTATCGTTATTATAAAAATGTAACAATGTTATGATTATCGTTACAGATACAAAAAAGTAACGATTGTTACCCAAAAAAGTAACGTAATTGATAACGCGTTACTTCTTAATCTTTTATTTTAATTATTTAATTCAGATCGCTACAAGTAGATGCAAAACATTTTACATATTTTATGTTTACATATTTCTTAGGAGGCACGAATCAACGAAGACGCATCAGAGTTATGTAAAGCCAAAGAAGATAATCGATTGTTAAATTGCAATCTTGATACAAAGCAAGCATTACCAAATTTATTAAACATAAATTTTGAACATATATTAACTTCCCGTCTTTCTGTAGAAGAAATTGTAAATTACATACACTCGTCAAACGAAACATTACAATTAGTAGCAATTCAGAATTACAAAACCTTAATGCGTGATAGAAAACGTGACAGAATACGTAATAGAATATGTATTTCTACGGATGATATAATAGAACATGATATAGTATCACGTAGTATTGAACTCTTAGATACCTGTCATAAGTATGTATTTAAAAACTGAAAAAATTATTTGTCGATTTAAGAAAATGGTTTCTTCATATATTTATGAATAAGATATTATTTCTTTATTTTTATTCAGTCTTCGCTTGCAATTTGAAATAATGTATGTACTAACTGGCATGAGTTTGGGTTCATTCAAACAAAAGCAGAGTATTATAAAACATGGAATAATACCAAAATTAGTGAAGCTATGTAAGTCTACAGTGCCTTTTGTTACAAGAAAAGCAGTGTATATTTTAGGAAATATAACGAAAGATATACCTTATGCACGTGATATTGCTCTTAATCATGCTGCTCTACCCCTTTTGATTAAATTTATTAATTCTAATACCTCAGTAAGTAACATTGTACACTGAGAAAAAATAATCTAAATTTAAATAAATATTTATTTGAATACTGCTAACTAAACATTTATTTACAATAAATAAATATTTACTTAATGAAAAAAAGTGATTGTTAAATCAAATTAATGTTTTTTGTACTAAATAAATATATTTTTATATATGTTTAATAAATATTTAGTTGGTACTATTCAAATAAAATATTTATTGAAATTTAAGACATATTTTTTTCTCAATGTATTTAATAACATTCTTTAATAACATTCTTACTTGTTTTCGTATTTGATACTCAGAATCAACATTTTTGTCTATTTGTCTAGAGAGTGAACAAACGCTATTTGCAAACCGGAAAGCAATTAATGTACCTAGTGTGATAAAAACATGTTTTTAAATCAATTGCACTTAATAATAATTAATTGTTGTACAAGTAATGAGTGAATTTTTAATGTTTTTTATATTTGTATCTTTATTACAAGAAAGTGAAGATAATTAAATTATGTCTGATTGATTTAAAAATAGAATAGTATAATATTCATAACATCCTTACTTAATTAAATTATAACTTAATAGATATGATATAATTAAATTGTAGCTTAATTATATATTATAATTTAAGAAATAGAACCTTAAGAGTGTTTTAAAAGAGCAATTATATTTAATATTAAAAATATATAACTATTCATGTGTGACAAACTTATTAGTAAAACGTATTTTATTAATGATTGTAGAATGTAAATAATAATTATTCATCAAAGATATTTTACAGTTATTATAAATAGCTTTTTATATTTCACAATTATTAAAAATATAATATTGATAACCAAAAATCTCAAATATACAATATATTCATTCGAGAGAAATTAAATTAGTTGTGATTAAAATTTAAAAGTATGTATTTTTTATAAATACTTTTTTTCTATCTCTTTATAATATTTGTTTTATTTAATAATACAGTTTGAGATTATAGCTTTTTATTTTGAATTTGTTATTTGAGATATGTCCAAATAAAATATTTTTTCTTGAATTTTTCTTTTTTTCTTCTTTGTTTGTTAGCATCTGATCTTAGTAATATTTACATTTATCTAATATAAACGACTAAGAATAATGTATATTTTTGGAAATGTTACATGTTTTTATGAAATTACTTTGAAATTAAACAATGCTAATAATGTTTGCAAGCGCTTGCTTTTAATACAAAAATTAGCAATATACACTTAATTTTTATGTTAAATAAATTTTAAATCTATGTTTCTTTTAAAAAGTAAATATTATTTTTTAATATTTTCTGATACTTATAAAATATGCAGATAACATTCATGCGCAATATCGTAAGGACTATGCTTCATTTATGTACAAAGGATCCACCTTTATCTCTTGAATGGATTAGACCTATTCTACCAATATTTAGTTACCTATTTACTATTCGAAATCAAAGCATAATCTGTAAGATATACACGTTTTATTTTATATTTATATATTATGTAATTTGTTGTAACTTTGAGATGCTATAACGCTGTTTGTTCCAGCCAATACCTGCTGGATGCTCGCTCACCTTACTGAGGAATGCGATGATAACATAGATGCATTATTGGAAACTGGCATTCTACCGCAAGTTTTACGGTGTCTGATGTTACAGGCAAGAAATATACTTGTTCCAGCATTGCGCACAGTTGCACATATAGTAGAATCAGGTGATATTTATAAAACAAGTGTTGTAATTTCCGCTGGAGGTTTGTCGTATCTTTGTACCTTGTTGCAAAATTGTCTCGTCAACGACAATATTGTAGCGGAAATTGTTTCGGTAATCTATAAAATGATTAATACCGAAGAACAAATCCAATGTGTGATAGATGCTGGTTTATTACCACCACTGATAAAAATACTTAAACTTGTAAGTTCGTTTATACACGAAAAAATCTGCCGAACATCTGCTTTAAATATTTCAATAAAGTATTTTGTAAATAAATTCATTTTTTAATACATTTTTCATTTTTTAATTTATTTTTTTTGTAGGGAACAGAAGATGCACAACATATAGTTGCATGGATGATAACGGACATAATAGGGATAGGATCAATTGAACATTTGGACGAATTAGTAAATGCCGGCTTGTTATCAGCTTTTTGTAATTTGTTGGAAGTAAAGAATTATAATAATGTTGTTAATACCTTCGATTGTCTAACTGAAATCTTGTGTGCTGCAGAAAAAGCAAAACAAACAGAAAAATTTATTACTATGTTTAAAAAAACTGGAATAATAGATGAAATAGAAACTATTCAATATCATCACGATGATCAAATTTATAAAGCATATTCAACTACATGTGTTCTTTTAAAAGAGTTTGTATCTCTAAATATAATTTTCTAAATCGAAAATAGAGCTTTTAGAAAAATTCTGTTTTTTTTCATAGATGATTATATAGATTTTATATAAATAAGCAAAAAATATATCATAAATAAAACAATCTTTTTATCTGTATTCGACTGATATTTTAATCGTATCATTATTTTAATAAAATAAATAAAAAATGTTTTTTTCAGGATAAAAAACTTGATTAAAGAGGAATCTGATAGGCAGAAAGAATTTCATATGACAAATGAATTGACAAATTCATTTTCTGAATAGAAACATCTTTGAATTCTCTGTCGGATTGAAAGATCTAGCTATCTATTGAAAGATCTATAGCTAAATAATTTGTCAATATAATTTCCAATTTATACATGACAATATGAATTAGAACATTTATCAGCCAGTAAATTTTAGCAATACTAGCATGACAAAAATTTTTTTTTTTAGCAATCGATGTCAATTTTGAACAATAATCTTATTCTTCAGTGTATTATAAGAATAAGTTCGTATTAAATAGAATAGTTTTAATGTATGTTAAATTGAAAACATATTCAAGATGATATACCCAAATAACAAGGTGTCGTCTATTTGACATCATTAATTCATCATTCTTAGGACTAATTTGACGAATCAAACATTTAAAATGATGGATTTGTCATAGTTACATAATGTTATAAACTGACATCATGAAATACGTCATTATTATTTTAATGTTGTTAACATAAATAAATGACGTTATTAATTGATCCCTATAATAATTTTATTATAGTGATCAATTTATAATGTTATTATGGTGATTAATTGATTACTATAATAACGTTATTAATAGTCATAATATAACTAGTACGTCGATAGGTCAGCTATTCGTCGTACTAAGCTAATAAGAGTATGACGTTGTAAATACGTCGTAGGATGGATAAATAAATGAATTCATTAATTTATAAAAAGATGATGTTATTACATCTTAAATAGGTAATGACTTCAATAATCTATAGCATGACTAATTATTGACATCAAAATGATGACATCTTTCAAAATTGTGTCTTTAATCTAGGTTTTAATGGACTAAATAAATAATTTTCCAATTCTTTAAGCAATAAAACATGATCTTATCTATTTCTTATTTTAAGAATTTTTTCTAAAAATTTATAAAAAATGTTCTTAATATATTCTATGAAGTTCTTTTCCATATAATATCCTCAAAACGTGTTTCGAGTATTTCGCAGAAGAGTTGATCATATATGTTTTAAACATGTTTCAAACTATATTTTGTATTTGTATTTTGTATTTCAAAACGAAGATTGAAAGTATTTTGTATTTTAAATATTAACATTGAAAATCAGTTTTATTATTTAAATTGCAAAATACAAAATCTTTTTATGTGCAACGTTGAAATATCAGCTTATTTCTATTTTTTTTTCTTTTTTTACTTTTTTAATATACTAAGCTGAGAGAGAGAGAGAGAGAGAGAGAGAGAGAGAGAGAGAGAGAGAGAGAGAGTGCATTATTTTTAAGTATTAAGGAGACATAAACAATATTTCAAAATAATAATTAGAAAAAATTACAAATAACTCTAGAGTGGTTCAAAAATAATAAAAAAAAATTAGAAACAGTTTACTATCTGGATCAAATAAATGCAAATAAAATGTGTTTTTGACACTATATAAATAGTTCGGAAAATTTTGGGACCTGAAATTTTTGGGAAAATCATAATTTTACAGAACATGTACAGAGCGTTCAGCGCAACAGTCTGCACGATTTTTCAAACAATTAAAAAAAAGATTGAAGAGTGAGTATTTATTTGTTTTATATAGGCTACAACATGCAATATCGCATATCCGAGAAGACAATTTTTTCGAGTCAGATATCCGATCGAATTCCAAATGTCTTCTAAAAAAAAAAAAATGTAAATAAAAAAAGCTTATAGAGAAAAAGATTGTAATTTTGCAACAAAATGTATAAGACATTATAGCATCATAAATGCCTAGCAAACGAGAATGGATAAAAATGGATTGAAGTTTTTTTCTATCCTAGTGCGCGTATTTTAAATAGCGAATATTTTTTTGGATTCAATTGGATGCAATTGGATTGAAAAACTGCATTTCCTATTCAAAATTTTGAATTGAACAGTATTCACAATGCACCGAAAAAGCTAATATTGCATAGAGATATGCTCCATGCAATTCCTATAAATGAATAAAAATGCATTCAGGATTGAAAAGCATTCATTTTAACATCCGTGACTCAATATTTCTGAATTCATTTCAATTCTCGTTTGCTGGGTGGGAATATTTATTTCTAGAACATTTGTAGATGATAAGAAAAAAATCAACAATTTAATGATATATCAAAGATATCTACTAATAATATCCGGCTATCCGGTCGAATAGTAAAAAAGTGCCGTATAATACCGGATACCGAATACTTTCCGGATATCCGGTGAATCCCTACTTGGAGTATTATTTTGAGATTTTTACGAATACATTTCACGAATATATTTAGCGTCAGCTGGCATTTTCGAATCGATATCGACCGCGATAAGTGCTTGGGATTGACCGGTGGAACGAGCGATGCTCTTGTTGACCGACAGATAATTCTTGGCGGAGCAAAGATTCGCGGGCGCTCGCGCGACGACATGAGGCCGCGAGGCGAGGCGCGGCGCGGCGCGGCAGTCGGACAGTCGTGTCGGGACCACCGTGCGATGTGGATGTCGTCTCGCATTTCGCGTGTCAACATCTCGCGGTTTCGATCGGCGCCGAACCTACGTGCCAGTGACACTTGGCGGCTTGCTGTCCGCGGGCAGGCATGCAGGAGCGACGCTGAGAGAGATAGATACATATCCAATACATCTAGTAAACACGGTACTCGCGTGGCGCGCGATCGATCCACCGATTGCCGATCGTCGCCGTCTGTAAGTCGCCGTTGATTTTTCCTCGCGCAGATCGGATCGGATACACGCACGGCGCACACTTGTCCGAGTTTTACGTTACTAGAGGAAGAGGAAGAAGTTGGAGCTTCCGCGATCGACCGGTTGTCGGCCCGCCCACCGCGGGGAAGAGCCGCGGACCTCGGCGCGGACGTCGGGAGACGGAAGTGCCACCGGTGTTTTCGCCTCCCGCACGTACGAGAGTACCTAAGGGCAAACGAACTCTGACGATTACCTGCGGCGACTCGGCGCGTTTCGCAATATTCCAGAGGAGCGATCTCGATATTCTCGATTCATCGGCAACGCGCGGAGCTGGGCGAGCAGCCGGGAATCGTCACCATCACCACCGTCGCCGCCGCCGCCGCCGTCGTCGCCGCGAGGAAGTGAGTAAACACTTTTTGCATCGCCTTTTTTCTTCTCCGCATTCTCGTCATTCGCAGCTGACGCGCGTTCCACGGTGCGCAAGGTGCCAGACTCCTCTCTGCTGCAATTTCGATTTTTCGCGATATATCGCGCCTTCCTTTTGTCTCTCCTTCTCCGCGGGCGGAAGTGGAAAGGAAAGAAAAAAAAAAAAGGAAATCTCAAATGTCTCTCTCACGGTGACGTTTGTAATTGCCCGCGTAAAAATACTCCTCGCGGATAATTTCTGAGCGAACGAGGTCCGTAGGCGCTTTATTAAAGCTCCTCGGCGATACGATACGGAACGCACGACGCTAACGCCGCGCCGTCGTTCGTCGTTCTCTACGGTTTGGAGTCTACGCGGTCGGCTGTTAAGTCGAGCGGTGCCTTTCGATTATCGGTAATGAGATGCGTGCCGGCGCTTTCATTGGCCACGGCGACCGCACGCCCGGCCGTCATCGGCTCGCTAATGACGCGTCCGACACCCGGCGTTCGCGAACGAGCGAGGAGCGAGCGAGCAGGCGACAAGAATGTGTCGAACATCGGATCGCATCTTCGCTCTATGCCACATCGCGTGAGACGCGATCGATGTCTCTTTCTATCGGTGTAATTTAATTTTAATCTCGATTTCATTTCTTTTATCGTTTTCTGATTCTTAGATCCAGTTCCATCAATGTAAGATTAACTTTAATCTTGGTTCGATTGCTTATCTTTCTCTAATTGTTAAAATCGGAAAAAGATGAAGATTAAGTTGGTTTGAAATTAAAGTTAATCTACATTGGTAGAAGTAGGTATTAGAGATTGAAAATTGAGCCATATTCTTTTTTAAGATTATACATTGTACTATCTGTCACCCACACATTAATTGCAAGATCAATCTTATTGGGAAAAAAAGATTCTTTTAACATCATATAAGAATTTATTTTACTGATTGTATTTCCTGCAATGTTTTAACTCGCAATTCTCTTATTTATATACCTATATATTTTACCTATAAAATTTTGAAAATAGTTTATAAAAGATGAACAGTATTATATTTCTGTAAAGCAAATTTTCTATAATATAATAATTAAAATCAGCGTTTAATAATAAAGGAGTTTCAGCCCAATTCTATCAATGTGGATTTACTTTAATCTTGGTTCAATTTATTCTTCTTCTTTTTATAAAACTTAGAACTAGAAAAAGATGAAGAAAATAAATTGAATCGGGATTAAACTTAATTTACAATTGTGGTAGAAACGAGCATAAGTCACTGTTTATCTTTTTCTAATCAGGAAAAGATAAACAGTGACTTAAACCGAATTAGAAAAAGATAAAGTTAAACCGTAATTAATCTTACATTGATAGAATCAAGCCTTAGAATTAGAAAAGGATAAAACATGGGGGATATTAGAGTTAATTCCGGTGGCTTTTTTGTCTTTATTATAGAGCTGCTGATTTACTTCAAAGGCTTCGACATTCAAACTTCGAAGCTTTGACATCATCTCCGAAGATCGAAGTTTCGAATTTTCGAAACATCGAAGAATCAAAAGTTATACAATTATTAATTTAATAGTTAATAAATAACAAAAATACAAGGACTCTTCGTATATAAAATAAATAACAACAAATGAAATAAGAGTCAATTAAAGGCATAAATTAAAAGTACAATCTGGTGGCCGAAACTTGTAATTTTATATGTTTATTTTTCCGTTATTATTTCTTAGTATACATCTTTTCTTCCTTTTTTTATCTTTTCTTTACTTTTAATTTATGCCTTTAATTATATGTCTTTTTAAAGGAATGCGCTGACTCTTACTTCGCCCTTCATTTATTGTTATTTATTTAATAGTTAATAGTAACGAATATATTTTTATAAAAAGTATACAAATATATGTATATTATAAATATATTTTTTCTATTCATACAAATATTTTTTTCGAATATCTTTGAAAGAGATATTTGAGATGAATAGAAAAAAATGAAAATATATTCATAATATACATATATTCGAATTTTCGAAAATTGTGAAAAATAATAACCTTACTCGAACTTCTTGAAATTCTTATTGAAGTTTTTATGACACCCGAACTTCTTCTTGAAGTTTTTATGATACCTGCGATTTTAGAGGTTTGAATATATTATTAATTTTCAGATTATTTTTCCTTACTTTTTGATAGCTGTAAATAATTCTGACTAGGATAAAAAGTAAGTTAAATAGAAATTAAAGTAATCTACATTGATAAAAGTGAACATGATTCTCAATTATATTATTATCGGAATCGGATGATTTTCCTTGTTCCATCTTCCGTGTCCGTTTTTCTCCCTTTCTCTCTATGCTTTTTTTTTATCTTTAAGCCTCTCATCGAAATCGTTTCCTCTCTGCTCTTCCGCGAGAAGAAACGCTGACGTGTGTGCACTCAAAGTAAGGCAGAAAAGGTACAAAACCGAGATGGTTCATCTTTCATCTCAAAGCAGGTCGGGACATAAGTGATCGACTCGGCAACTTGGTCTTTCATATTTGGTATTTAAATTTCACTTTCAAATTCTTGGCAATGAGACGAGCGGCGCGTCTCGTGTCAATATTTTCACACCTGACATCGGAGAAAGTATATATACATGTGTATTAATTTTCACGCGAGCGTTTTAGAGTGTACAGGATCTAGCTCGGAAATGCAAGTCTCAGCGAAAATAATAACGAATTTGATCACTCGCATTACGCTGAATTAAGGCAGACTAAAGGCTATCATGCAATTAGCAGCTTAAGTTAAATGTAAAAGCATATAAATATTTTAAAAGATTAAATGCCCAATAATGACATGGTCACGCTATTTAACATAAAGACATTAATATAAGTACAGTATCGTTTTATTAAAAGTTGATTATACAATATTATATCATTGCATTTAGATACTTTATAAAGCAGTCTTTAATGTATATTAATTCAGTGTAGTGTACGAAAAGAAATTTACTGAAAAATCTAAAATTTTTAGATATATATAGATCTAAAAATAATTTTGTTTGGACCATTAAAATAATTGTACGACACTGGTTATATACAATGATCTTTAGAACTAATTATTAGAATGTTAAAACTTTTATTAGCTTTGCCATTAAAACTTAAATATTCTACATAATTATTTTGATGGTCCAAATAAAGTTATATTGAGATCTAGCTATATTTTGAAAACAATTTACTTTATTATTTATTATTCTTTTGAGGACAGCTTATTATTTATTTTAGTTTGTTATTTATTTAAAAAAATATTCTTTCCGCATGCGAGCGATTTAATTCACTATAAAAAAGAACAATACTGAAATATTGTTTACACATAGTAGGATAAATTTCTCAAGTTAAAGAATTGCGATAAACAGGAAAAGAGAAGAGAGGAAAGAGAGTGGTATTTAAAGTGCGCATTTCCGTCGTTTATACGTAGTATTTTCGACATTTATTATCACGTACGTGATTTCTTAGACCCGTCGAATTCGACACGTACGTGAAATCTTCGCGTGCGAGTGCAGTAAAAAAAAACATTTGCAGTTTGCATTCATCATCGGGCGCTCAGTTGTGGGTTCGGTTGCTATAATAGCTCCTTGCTAAGTTTTCCTGATAACGCGTCAATGAAAACTGGAGCATTGGGGCGGTCACGTTTAATGCTGAATGCGAAAGGAATCGCGTATGAGATTGATTTTTTTCATCCCCTTTACCATATTCGAATTTTTGAAAAAAAAAAAAGAAGTAGAAGCGTAAAAACAAAAAACAAAAGCTTACCAACTGGAATGGCATTTTTTAGAAATGCATTTATTAAATATAAATAAATCGAGGCGATGTCCTCGATCGAGTTGTCTCGATTTTAATTTGTACTTTTTATCTCGTATCGTTCTTACTAAAATAGTACAAAACTAAATAACGTAATCAAATCGAAATAAATAAAAAACAAGAGAAAATAAGAGACAGGCAGCCGGGAATTTGCGCGATTAAAATTACGGAGTATGATATAAGACTTCAATATATTTACAACATTACATTATGTGTACGTAGTTCGACTTTTAGCAATTAGTTAATACGCAATAAATTTATACATTTAAGTTCCAATGAAAATCATGATAATATTTCTCATGAGGCAATCAACTTTTCTCTTATGAAGAGTCAGAGTAAAATAGTAAAATATGTAAAATGTACGAAAAAATCCTAACTTAATCGCCCTTTTATTCGATTCATACGTTTCAGTGAGATGTGAAATCTTGCTGCTAATTTCCAGCACGTATATCCCACCAATTACCAAATGTCCTCGCAATTAGTGTTAAATCAGTTGACTTTAACAGAGATAATGCCGTTCTTCGTGGGTGACACGGTTCTTATTTTCGATATCGTATCACATACAAAATATCGATGCGCCTTAATAACACTATTCTTGCATAACGGTGCATGGCTTGGTGCGGTTAATCAACGTTTCGAAAGACGTAACAGTATCTTTCTCGAGAAAAGTGATACTCGCTATATCCCGCGAGATAATGATGAACATAATGAGATAGAAGACTGCCAGCGTCTCGGAAGCAGATCCACTGCGATTTTCTTTTATGTATTGTATTTTTAACGATAAAATTTTTCTTGGACGAGAAAGTGTCACTCCGAGTGACACGAAATTGCGCTTATCTTTCTTTTGAAAGAAGTGCCAACCTTATTTTCCAGGGGTCTTCGAATATCGATTGCACGTATCCGGGGACAGTGGCTTCTTATCACGCCGGGAATTCTCCGTAAAACGGATATAATACTTCGTTGGCCGACTGGAGTGGGTCAAACGTGCTTGGCGAATCCACAAGGGTTAATGACATCGCGCGCGAATTGCTTCCTTCTTTGCATGTCCGGTTTGAGATAAGAGTATATTGAGTGATGTTTTGTATGTTTCAGTCGAACACCCGACGAAATCGCAGCGAAATCAATTAAATAGGTAGTATTGCGTCGTATCGTACGATAAAAAGAATAGTCCTCTCGTTTGCTCCG